TCCCAACTACTTGGAGGCTGAAGCAGGAGGACCGAAAGTTCAAAGCCAACCTGGGCAACTTAGTGAGACCCTTTCTCAAAATAAAAATTTAAAAAGGGGTTGGGGGTGTAGATGGGCTGTAGAACACCTACCTAGCATATGCAAGCCCCGAGTTTAATCCCTAGCACTACACCAAAAAAAATTAAAAAAAATAAGAGGCTGTACCTTTGTAGTGCTAGCCTGACCTCTGTTTGGGTTCTGCCTTCTCTAGCCCAGCATCAAGTTTTGAGAGATCTTTTATCTTTTGCCCCAATCCCAGGCATCGAAGTTTCCCTGGGGAGGGAGGGATCCAGGAGCAGTGGCCTTCTCAGGATGACAGCCTGGCGGGCACCTCTGCTGTGAGAACCCCACCATCCTGTCAGAAGTCTATCCAGGCTGCAGTCAATCCCAAATTTCTCAGAGTTTTAGCACTTTTAGCTCTCTCGTCCCCCTCTGGCCTCTTCCACACTCTCCTTTTGAGACTTCAATTTCACTTTGCAAGAAGCCAGTTCCACTCTCTTCTAGATACTTCACTTTAGAGGACACTGGTACAGGGGCTCAGTGCATGGTTTGTAAAACCCTCTTTTTTTTTTAATATTTATTTCCTTTAGTTTTCGGCGGACACAACATCTGTGTTTGTATGTGGTGCTGAGGATCGAACCCGGGCCGCACGCATGCCAGGCGAGCGCGCTACCGCTTGAGCCACATCCCCAGCTCCTGTAAAACCCTCTTCACATTTCCCGGTGTTAGCCTCAGAGAGCTCTGTTATAAAAGGGCTCCCCCCCACCCAACCCCCGACCCTAGAGCTGGGGATGAAACCCAGGGCCTCACGCATGCTCAACAAGTGCTCTACCACTGAGCTCTTGCTCCAGCCCTCAGGGAGATTTTGTATATGAACCGAATATGATCCAGACTCCACATGATCTACTCTGTTATTCGTGGGATTCCATTTTTTTAAATGCATGACAACTAAAAGTGATTTTTAATTCCGATCATTACTTGCCTCTCGCAGAGAATATCAACAGGGGTCCGATTCTTAGCCTAAAAGGACACTGAAGGACCCTCTTTCTCCTCTGGGTCTCTCATGCCAGTTGTGTCAAAGTTCCCAGACTCTGAGCCCTCAGCTTTTGCCTCCTTTTCCCCTCCACTATCCCAGCTTCTCAACGGGCACATTCATCAGGCCTGGTGGTCCATCAGATTCCTTTCTACTGGGCTGGCTATCCTGATTCTCCACCATGGAGTAGAACCCAGGAGCTAGCCAAGGAAGCAAGAACAACCCATTTTCCTTCCACCCCAGTCTTGTGAGACAGAGTTTGCAGAAGGGTGGCCCAAGCCCGAGCAGGCAGAGAGAAAATTCTCTGCAGGAAAGAGTAATGACATTCATGTGTTTTTTTTTTTTTTTTTTTTGGTTTGTTTGTTTGTTTTGCTTTTTTATTTATTTTAAATTTTTTTATTGTTGGTTGTTCAAAACATTACATAGTTCTTGACATATCATATTTCACACTTTGATTCAAGTGGGTGACATTCATGTATTGATAAATCCTGCTTCATCATATTTATCACCTCACCCTGGCCTGTTTTCTGACCTTGTGACTAAAATCAGCCACCACAACCTCTCCTCTTTGAGAATCCTGATTAGGAATTCAAAATCATCTCTTTCAAAACCCTGAAGGAGCCCTGCGCAGTGGGGCACACCTGTAATCCCAGCAACTTGGGAGGCCAAGGCAGGAGGATCACAAGTTTAAAGCCAGCCCCAGCAACTTGGGAAGGCCCTAAACAATTTAGTGAGATCCTGCCTCTAAACAAACAAACAAAAAGGACTAGTGATGTGGCACAGTGGTTAAGCACCCCTGGGTTTAATCCCCAGTACAAAAGAAAAAAGGATAGAAAGAAGAGAGGGAGGGAGGGAGAAAGAAAAAGAAAGAATAAGAGAGCAAGCCCATTTGGGGCCAGGACAGAGCCTAAAACAGGTGGAGACCCCATTGAGAGCAAGACCTGACTTGTTGAAGGCCAGTTTGGCATAGCAGGCATCCTGTCTCACCCACATTTGAAGACAACATCAAGGTGTGAAGTTTCCAGTGTCTCTTTAACAGATTTCTAGGGACTGTTGGAATAAACAGGAGAATTTATATTCTCAGTCACTCCCTGGATTGCCACACTATAGAGACTGTTCTCTGCTGATGGGATCAACAAGCAGCTAAAAAAAAAAAAAAGCCACACACACACACAACCTGCCCACTCTCCAAACACCTCCAGTCTTCGATTCCAGATCATTCCCTCAAGAGCTGAGAAAAGGCCTGGGCAACATCAAGAGCTTAAACCCAGACCTTTGCACCTCTCCAAACCCCAACTGGCAGTCTGGAGATGAGCTGGGGACAGCTTGCTGGATTCCAGGGCTGGGAGCTGAAGAAGAGGGCCCTGCTTCCCATAGCCAGGCCAGGGCGAGCACAGCACTTCTGCCCAAAGCAAATCAATCAAAGGCCTTGGCCAAGCTTGTTTGAGTTGGTGAGAGCCCAAGTGGGAATTCCAATCTGCCAGTGTTTGCTCTGCAGGCCAATAGAGCCAAACAGAAATGCAGCTTTGGGACTTTGTGCCAAATATCCATCAGTTTGTCCTGCCAGCCCTGTGCACGTCACCCACTCCCAGCTCTCTGCTCTCTGAAAGTCTTCTTTCTGTGCCCTTACAGGTGGCTTGCCCTTTTCTGACCCACAAGCCAGTGGCCCATTCCCAGGGCCACCTTTCTAGACCAGGTCTCCCGATCGGACAGGCAGCCTGCCCATTCTGAACCAGCTCCATCTGGAAATCCACTCACACCCCCTCTGTGGGTCTCTGACCTCCACTCTGCTTTCTGCTCCATCTTTTCCTCTCTGACACTTTACTGTTGTTCCCTCAGCCAACAGCTGCTGTCCCCAGCAGAGTTGGAGGGAGCAGAAGCAGAGGGTAGATGCCAGGAAGCCCCAGTCATGGGTGGGCAACACCACCTTAGCTCACATTTTCACGTCTGTTTTATTATTTGATCCCTGTAGCTGGTCAGTTTTATCTTCCCGTTTCTCAGAGGAAATATCTGAGGCTTCGAAAGACCAGACCTCTTGCCCAAGTCAGCCGATTAAAGAAGCCAGGTCTCCTGACTCTAGAACCATGGTACTTTCTACCTTACCCCCCCTGAGGCAATTTTTTAAATCTCTTATTCACTCCCAGATGCCTAGGGCAATTCCCAAGGATCCTGATGAGAGTGAGTGCTGCAGATATTGTATTGTTCCCTGAGCAGTGCTGCCAAACCCAATGTGAGCAAGTGACAATATCTGCCTGCCTACCTTTTGATGGTGCTCTTTCCAGAGCACCCTTGGAAGTTCTTAACCTTGGAGTCATCCCCAAATGGTGGAATCCCAAGCCTCTCCCCCACCTACCTCAGGCCCACCTCTCAGGTACTATCACAAAGTCATCCCACCAAGGCAGCAGCCCCTGCCTGAGACGCAACGTGGCCACCCCCAGCAGCAATTCCTCTGGGCAATTTTCACTGTGACCCTGAGAGTGTGAACATTTGCAAATGGAAATGAACTGGGTATTTTAGAAGGCAGGTGCTCTCTGCATTGGAACAATTCTTGTCACCTCCTCAGGAAAATCAGCATGCAACCAAGAGCGTCAAAGAGGGCCAGGGCTGGCTGGGGGTGGTGGTGCATGTCTCTAATTGAAGCAGCTTAGGAGAATCATAAGTTCAAGGCCATCGTTGGCACCTTAACAAGACCCTGTCTCAAAATTAAAAATATAAAAAGGGCTGGGGATGTGGATTAACGGTAAAGAATCTTAGGTTCAATCCCAAAACAAAAAAAAAAAAGGGGGGGGGGGGCCAGGGTGGGACTACAGATTCCTTGTCACTGAATCTCAGTACCCAGCACAGCTCAGCAAACAGTAGTTGATCAACCACAAGGACAAGATCCTTCTACCTGCCTTTGTCCTGTGGACTCAGGGTGCCATCCCCCAGGCCAGGAACCCACAGGCCCCACCGTAGGACCCTGTTGTCCAGCCACACTCTTTCCACCCCAGGAATTTTCTAGTGACCTGACTTCCCAGTGTGTGTCTGGGACCTTTTTGTACCCAACTGTAGGTGCCAATCTCTCACCCCCAACTCTACCCCAAGCCTGCCTCCCCACTCTGTCCCAGGTGACATGGCCAAGGTGACAGGCTTCAGGAAAACTCTCTCACAATGGAAGCAGAGTAGGCACCACCGGGGCTCTGTGATGGCCCATTTGGAGCAGGGGGTGCCAACTTTTCTGTCCCTCTAGGGCCCACAGATGGCTCTGTCACATCTGGGCCAGAGTGGTACAAAGACCTTGGCAGTTCTGGCGTTCATATGGCCAGGAATGATGCAGTAAAGAGTCCTAACTAACCACAGCAGGAAAGTAGTCCAAAGTACTGCTACTGCCATTGCTCTGGGCCATGGTATGTGGTGCTCTGCCCTTGCCAGTGGGCTGCTCCCCATGCTGAGCTCCCTGGCTGCTTCCCATGCCCACACAGCAGAACCGAGCCACTGACTGTGGTGCCCCTTGCAAGGAGCCAAAGGGCAAATCAGAGCAGACTTCCAAAGGCAGGTCTCCACAATAGTGGGTCCACAGAGTGGCAGCCATGCCAGGCAAGGGGTCCCACATAGATCAGCCCTCAGAGGATCCAACATCAGCAGGGCCACATGCTTTATGGGGCTGCTGGGGACCCTCCTTAGTCTGCTCCCTCCAGGAGCCCAGGGGATCCTTGCTGCTGGGTCTAGGGAGACTAGAGCCACTGTGGGCCTAGATGTGGCCTCTAGCCGGGGTGAGTCTTCCTCTCCGTAGATACGCTGTGTCATGGAGGCCTGGGGAATCAGACTTCAGGAGCACCTCTCCAGCCCAACCCACAAAGGCAGGGAAACATCAGAGCAGTTGGAGTCCAGCTCCGAAAGCCATGTTTAATGAGGTCCCTCCCGGTTGGCAAGACCCCCAGGGCACCAGCTACTTCTCCTCCAGCCGTTGCAAGGACTGGGACTTCTCCTTGGGCAAGTCCTCGAGCATCAGGCACAGCACGTTGACGATCTCGTAGTACAGCTCCTGAAGTCTAAAAGATACCACGGGAGGGGAGGGGACCTGAGGACAGGGTGGGCTCCCTGCCGCCCAGACCCCACCCACCAATGCTGGCTCGGGTGCATTCACCACTTCTGGCAGATCAGTGGGGTCAGTGAAGAGCAAGGACTTCAGAGAGCCACATCAGGTGGTTGGCATCCTAGGTCCACTACTCTGCCTCTGGTCCCCTGGAGTGATTGATTTCACTCACACGTCGAGCGTGAAGAGCAGGAACTGTACTGTGGTGTCCAGACAGTGCCTGAACCACTTTTGAGCCCCAAGTGAACATTCCCTGGTCCCTCATTTTAAGTTTGTCCAGTCTCAGAAGCCCTCTAGAGGATTTTCAATGAGAAACCAAGCTAATTATGTCTATCCTTACTCAAGATCCCACTGTGGCTCCCCAGTGCCCAAAGCCAGGATTTTATATCCTTCCTGCTCAGCTATGGCCAGTCATAACTCCAGCTAGCTTACAAGCCCTGGGCCAGTCCTAGCTCAGAGCTTCACGTACATTTTTTTAAATATTATTTTAGTGGTAGATGGACACAATACCTTTATTTATTTTTATGTGGTGCTGAGGATTGAACCCAGTGCCTCACGTGTGCAAGGTGCACGCTCTACCACTGAGCCACAACCCCAGACCTCACACATACATTTTTATTATTTAATCAGACTAGTGGCTCCTTGTGGGACAGGTGGGAAAGGGACAGAGACCTGCCCAAGGTCACACAGGCAGGTAGTGGCAGAACCAGGCCAAAAGCCTCCTCACTTCCTGACTTGCCACCCAGTATGCTTTCTCTACCCCCTGAAAAGGGGTTCACAAGGAGGCCCTGGAGAGATGAAGGAGCCAGAATCTCTATATAAATCAAAAAGGATTAAGGAGGCTGGGCGCGGTGGTGCACGCCTATAATCCCAGTAGCTCGGGAGGCTGAGGCAGGAGGATCACGAGTTCAAAGCCAGCCTCAGCAAAGTCGAGGTGCTGAGCAACTAACTCAGTGAGACCCTGACTCTAAATAAAATACAAAATAGGGCTGGGATGTGGCTCAGTGGTCTAGTGCCCCTGAGTTCAATCCCCCAGTACCAAAAAAAAAAAAAAAAAGAGGATTGGGGAGGGACAGCAGAGTTCCCCAGCCACAGGCCTGTCCACTTGCAGCCCAGACTACATATTCATGGACTCTTGCACTCTCATGAAGGCTCTAACCCACCGGCTTGCCCTACACATGGGTCATGAATGCTCCACCCTCCCATGGCCCTCGACACAGCCCCCACTCTGAGGAAGCCCTGGGCACCAGGAAAGGCTGGGGCTGGGACTGACTTGTTGACAGTATTGTCCTGGTTGTCCAGAGTGGATAAGTAGACATCAATGAAGGGTAGGCTAGTGCCAAAATCATCCAAGACCATGGGGTCAGTGTGCCTCAGAGTCTTCTTGAAGTCCTCCACCAACTCACTGAAACTCTTGCCAACATTGCTCTAGAGAAGGAAGCAAAATGAGTGAGTAATGACAGAAAAGTGGCAGTCACGCTGCAAGGAGATCTGGGAACCCTCCATGATGGGTCCCTGGCAGAGGCCTGTTCCCAGCCCCAGGATGAGCCTGAACCTTCATGGGTGAGGTAACCTCATGAGCCACCATCACCAATGTGGGGCAGGTGGCACACAAAGGAACCCGTGAGAGTCTCAGAGTGGCTAAGTGTGGTCTCCAGTCCTGGACAAACCCCAGACACAGCCTAGACAGGCAGATGTCGTCTCCACCTCAGAGAAAAGGCTGAGGAGGGTCATACCAAAGATGAAGGGACCCAGCAGGGCTCCCAAAGCTTAGGCAGAAAAAAGAAGCAGCACCAGCCCTCACAGGTTTATCGTGCTTGACCCACAACCTCCAGCCTGCTGTGTTAATTCCTCCTCTGGCTTTCAAAGTGTGGGGAAACAGAGATGGAGTGACACCCTGTCAGAGCCTCTTCATCCTCATCCATCCTGTGACCTGGGACTGGGCTGCCTAGCACCCAGTAAGCACAGGCTGAATGACCCAAAAGGCCCCACAGGGCAGTTCTGCCACAAAGGAGACGCCAACATTACAGCCCTGGACTCTCCAAGGGGGTCAGAGAAACAAAGAAACCGAGGAAGGAAAGCTTGGCGATGGGAGATACGGTTCTCCTGCCTCACCTAAGGCCACAAAGCCTGAGGCCACCTGCCCTCTCCACATCAGGGCCCTCTTCCCAGCCAGTACTTCAGCCCTGACTGTCCCTCTCTCTGTCTGTTGCCCCGCCTGGGGCACTGCCTACCTGTGTCTTCATCAGCCTGTCCACTTCCTCCTCCTGCCGTTTCAGAATCACCTGCTTCTCCTCCATCAGGGTGACTTGCCTCTCCAGCATCAGTTCCCGCTCAAACTTTTTGATGGAGTCCTAGTGAGTCAAAGGGTAGAGGTAAGGAGCACCCTCTCGCTCCACACTGCCCGCGACCTGGTCTCGCCCCTTGCCTCTCCTCGCCTGTGGCTCAGGCCCTCAGCACAAAGATCCACCCCAACAGAGCCAGCCCCCAACACAAGCTGCCAACCCTCCTGTTGGCCAGGCAAATTCACAAGCTCAGGGCCAAGAGTTGGTGAGGCCCAGGAAAGGCCCACCAGGCTACCTTCACTCTGTTTCAGAGGGAGACACCGTTCTGCATTCTCCCCAGAGGCCCGGCCCACACCTCTGCCTGTCGCACCTGGCATTCCCATCCCCCACCCCCAAGCACAGCCTCACCTCCGTGTGCATGATCATCACCCCCACGAACATGTTGAGAAAGATGAAGGAGGCGAGCAAAATGAAGGCAATGGTGAACACCCGGCTCAGAGTAAAATTCCGCATGTCCAACTGTTCCTGTAGGTTTGTCCAGCCATCCACCTGTCCAGCAGGACAGGGATTGCTGAGTACCGGGGCCCAGCAGAGCAGGCTCCCATCTTACCTGTACCAGGGAAGCCCCCGACTCACTGAAGAGGAAACTGCCTCTGCCCCACATCAGCCTTTTAGCCCCTCTACATGGTGGCCTGGAAACGCAGGGCACCTCTAGATGGAGACCAGCATGCCCTGGGGTCTGTCCCCTCAAAGTCCTTGGGAGGACATTGCCTCTTGCTAGTCCCACCTTTGAAAAGACTCCACTCTTTGAAAGAGTTCAACAGAGTCTGGAATTCTGGACTTGGGCCTTGCATCCTGATTCTTGGGTGGGTTTGTAACAGCCTGTTTCCAAAAAGGCTATGTAACATGGGTTTCATTTATAACTTAAACTTAATCCAAATGAAGTATCATTTGAGAACTCTGACAAGTTTTACGGCCTTGTGGGACATATGGGAATGCTACACGGAGTCACAAGATCAGAGACGGAGATGAATCTCTATCCAGGGCCTCTGACTCGTGCTGGAAGGCCAGCCTCCACCTTCCCCAGGCTCAACTAAGTACCCGAATATGGGGAAAGCCCACGTTAGACCCTCACAGCCACCTGCTCACACCACCTGGCAGTCCCATAAGGCCCCCACCCTCACCACTGTTCCCAAACACAGTACCGTGGCCAAGCTGAAGAGGGTGAAGAAAGACACCGCCAGGCTCCCCCAGTTATTCAGGTCACCGTTCTCTACAATTCCAAACAAGCAGAAGCCCAAGATAGCAAAGATGTACATCAGGACAAAGAGGAGGGTGAGCACAGAGGCCACGGTGTAGACGGTCTGCCCCACGGCAATGATGAGCATCTGCAAGGCAGGGACATGCAGCTAGGCCAGGGAGCCAGGCGGGGCATCTCAGAGGACACAGATCCAGTCTGCCCCAGGTCACAACTGTCCCAGCATCTGGTGCCATGCCTGGCACACAGCATGATGAACAATTAGTGGTCGAATGAATGAAGTGAATCAGAAATGTGCTCAGATCGAGGGCTGCATCAATCTAACTGATTTGCCAGAATCGAACATCCCTTATCAGTCACCTAGGGGCAGAGGGTACACAGGATCCCAGGTCATGGATTTCAGGTCACCACGAACCACTCCCCATCTGGCTCTGAGGACATCCTAGGGTATCCTGCTCCTGATTCTCAGCTGAGGGCCATCCCTGGGTGCTCTTGCCCCAGGCCCAGGAGGAGGGGAACCACCTGCAGGTTAGAATAGAGAGGGCCCAGAGGAATGTGGCTCCCATTCTTTCTGGACCCTGCCTTTGAAGGCAGGTCCCCAGGCTTCCCCCTGTGATGTGGGATCTGGCTTCCCCAGCACATCGTGTGACTCCCCATCATTCGTTCTCCATTCTCTGGAGTTTTGCATGCAATAAGTGCTCCATATGTGTTCACCTACCTCAAATGGTTTCACAGACATAATTTCAAGGTAGATAGATATTATCAGTTTTCCAGGATGAGGGGTCAGAGACTGAGAGGAGCAAACTGTCTTGGCCAGGGTCACACTCCAGTATAACAGCAGAGCTGGGACCAATTTCAAAACCCTTTGCCTCAGGCCACGACCTCCACCCACCAGCAACCCTGAACACAGAGGCCGATTAGCACTAGGAAAGGGGGTACTTGTAGCTGGACACAGGACAGTGAACTCTGGACAGTTGGGGTACTCCAGGAGGCAGAGACACCCCCAGAGCCCCAGGCTGCCCCACATGCAGGATGGTTCGGCAGGAGTGAACACATGCCCGTTCATTCTTCGTCCCCCTGGGGGAAGAAAATTGGTGTTTTCAGATTCATTCCAAAAGAGCTGACTATTAAAAAAAAAAAAAAAAAAAAACACTATCTCTCTCCTTGCTACACAGAGGCAGAACTTCTTCCCAAGGACTGGAAAAGTAAACCAGTAAGTGCTAACAGGAAACAGGAAACCCAGTAATGGCCTGCAAATTCGGTCTGCACAGGTGGGCAGGGGGCGCAGAGGGCTGGGGAGAGGTCTGGCTGGCTATCCCACCTCCAGGCCAGCCCACCTGAGGACACAGCCAAGCAGCCTTGAGAACAGTAGTTGTAATAAGGTCACACTCTCCAGTGGGACCCCCACAACCTGGTTGAGGCACAATCCAGGCAGCCTCTTTAATGAACAGATCCAGAAAGGGACAGAAATTGCCGAGTACAGTGACACACCTCTGTAATCACAGCGATATGGTAGGCTGGAGCAGGAGGATCATGAGTTCAAAGCCAGCCTTAATAACTTAGTGAAGCCATGAGCAACTTAGAGAGACCCTGTCTCTTAATAAAACATAAAAAAGGGCTGGGGATGTGGCTCAGTAGTTGAGCACCCCTGGGTTCAATCCCTGGTACCTTAAAAAAAAAAAAAGGAAGGGAGGGAGGGAGGAATGAAGAAAAGAAAGAGGCAGAAATCCAGTCCCAGAGGATGGCCACCCAGGTCCCCACAGGTCAGGAGATCCTTCACTGAGGAAGTTCTGGGCTTTCGAGGTCTGTAGCCTGGCCTCGAGTAGATGTCTGGTTTTAAATTTCCACATTCTTTGGAGAAGCAATACTCAGCATCCAGTTCCGTTCTCCTGGGTCCTGGGTCAGCCACAGCTATTCTCTTATGCCTGGGACTTTTGGGGGTGGTGGCCAGGTCAGGTGGCCAGGTCAGGGTTCTGAGAGAGTCTTCCTGGGCAGCCCCTGGGATAAGGGGGAAATGGTGGGACCCTAGAGAGGTGGGGTGGAGGAAGATGAAGCTGGGCTTCAGCCAGCAGGGAAAGTTGTCCGAATAAAATGCAGATGACCAGGAGCAACGTGGTACCCAGCTAACAGAATTCTCTATGTACAAAACAACAAGGAACGATTTCCTCAAGGAGCAAGTTTATTGCCATTAGGTGGAGGGCAGAGTGCCATTTTAATGAATCAGGGGTAGAGAGCCGAGGATGTACCAGAGTGTCAGCTCTGTTCGGGGCTCCTTTAGACTTTCATTCACACAAATTAGCATGGAAGTGCAAGTCCCCACCTCCAGCAGCTCCAGCTCCCTTGGCCAGCAGGCCAGACCAGCACACAAAGCCATGCAATCCAGGGTCACCTCTGTGCCCCTGCGAACCCAGGTCCCAAGACATTTCAGAGGCTACAGTAGAGCCACAGCCAGGGCATCAGTCTCCAAGGAACCACTCTTGGGATGCATGCCTCTGGTGAAAACTCCAAGGCCAAACCTGGGATAGACATTTGTGTACACGTGGTGTGTGCCCATGGGTCTATGAGGACCAAAGGCTGAGCAGGGGCCTGGATTCACAAGGAAAGCCTGGCTTGCTCCAGGATATGGCCCTGGGCCACTAGGGAGTCTCCCTGGGCTGGAAGGAGGTGCTGCCCCTGGCAGGCCCTCAACCTCGGGCACCTTCAGTTCTTTGCCTTCTGACCTGCTGCCCCCACACAGCCAAGACCAGTGTAGCTAGAGCCCCCGGCCTTACAAGGTGCCCAGCTGGGTCACAACAACTTCCTTCCAAGATGAAGCCCCTTCTGCCATCAGTCCTTCTCCCTGCGTGGTCCCTCAGCCCACCACCTACCACTCCCTTCCTCACGTGACTCCCTCAGGGGTTTGGCATCCATGTCCTATGGTGCCCTCTCTCCCGGCTTCATCTAAGGATCTCCTCTTACCTGAGATTACCCTAACAGTCCTCTCCAGGAGCTGCCTATCCCTCACTGACCTGGGATTCAGGGGGCCATCCTCTGCCTCGTCCCTGGAGCCCCTGACTCCATGGGCAAAGTCCCTATTTCTGGGCATGACCAAACTTCTGGTTTCCCTCTCCTCCTGGTGACTTGAAATCTCTCTTCCAGGCTCACCACCTCCTTCCCCACCCCATCTTGAGGCTAGCCCGGGGGATCTTTGCAAATGACACATGATCTAGACCACTTCCTCCCTGAACATCCTCATCGGTAGTGATTCTTGAAGCTTTTCCAGGCCCCAGGAAAAGCTGAGCTACTCCCCCCTCTGATCTCTCTCACTCTGAGGCGCCCCCACCTGTCTGACCCCCTGGACCTCCAGTCTCCTCAGCCCTACTTGACCTCGACTCCAATACCCAGCACCTCAGACACTTCCCTCCCCTCCTCCTAGGTCACATCCCAAGGGCTGTCCGTAACCCATGAAGATGGGATTTGAAGTCATGATTTGAGGTGCCTTTAGAAGATCCGCCCCTGTTGCTGAGGCACTTTTGCCGGAGACACCCGGGAATCCAGGTGAAGGCTGACGGTGGCAGGGATGAAAAGACGTGGACAAGTCAGCAACTATTTAGGGGCCCGCGTGACAAGACTTTGAGAGAGAAGAGCCAAGTTGACACTCAGATTTATGACTTGCCTACTGAATAGGAGTGGGGGACACTCTCCACCAAAAGATGAAATCGTGGAGGAGGAGCCAGGGTTTGGGGACCTGCGGGCAGGGGTGGGGGCAGGTGATGAACCTGCAGTTAGGCACGTGCTTGAGGAGCGCATGAGCTGTTCAGGAGGTGACTGGGTCTGAAGGTCACAGACAGAGGCACGGGCAGGTGGAGAGTCCTAGAAAGCAGAAAAGATCCCCCAGAGAGAATATGCAGAGGGCGGAGGGAAAGAGAACGCAGGGCACGGTCCTGAGGAAAGAACGCCACGAGAGGTCAGGATGGAGAAAGAGAAACAGTGACCAAGGACGCCCAGGGAAATGGCCACCGCATCTGGCAACCTCAAGAGGCCCGGCGCTCTGGAGGGAGGGGAAGAAGTCAGGGCTTAGTGAGGGAAGTAAGACTGGGGAGGAAAAGGGGCGGAGAGAGGGCTGGACACACAGGCATGTGACCACATGAGGGCAAGAGATGAGGGACTGGGGGGGGCTTGCTCCCAGGCCCTGTCCCTTCTCCCCCCGAGGACCAGGGCTGGTGGCTATCACAGCAGGATACGTGACACACCCTGACTGGACAAATAGGCCCAGGCCAGCCCCTTCCTGGAAAACAGCTGCCAGGACAAACACGGTGTGTCCAGGACGCATGCCTGCCAGCCCGGGAGAGGACAAGGGGTCAGCTCCCAGGCTTGTTCTGAAAGCTTCGGAGCTCAGGCAAGGCCGGGCACCCCACAACAGGGGCAACCCAAGAAGACTTCTCGGGGGAAGCAGCACTTGCTGGGCTGCTCAACAAAGTGGGGAGACTTCCCACTGAGAGGAGCAGTAGACCTTTGGCTGTCCCGGTAAAGCGGCCACCGGCCCCGGTCACCAGAAAAGCTGGAGATTCCTAGGCGTGTAGTTCAAAGCATCTGTCCCATAAGAAAGTCAGTTACTGGCTGGGGATGGAGCTCATCGGTAGAGTGCAAGACCCTGGGTTCCATCCCCAGCACCACAAAACAGGAAAAAAGAACAAAAGCTAGTCACTTTGCAGCATGGGACAGAAGGCCTCTGCAGTCAGACACTCCTTTCAAACATCAGCCCTGACATTTAGCTGCTGAGTGGCCCTAGGTCTCAATTTATTCATCTGTAAAATGGAGCTAATAAAATCTTTCCTGCCATTGTTCATCTTAAGATGGCGACCAAGTATTCCTCCTAACCCTCCCGCTGGGATTGAACCCAGGAGCGATTACCACTGAGCCACATCCTCAGCCCTTTTTATTTTTTATTTTGAGACAGAGTCTTGCTAAGTTGCTGAGGTTGTTGGCCTAGAACTTGCCATCCTCCTGCCTCAGGCTTCTGGGTCTCTGGGATTTTAGGCATGTGCCACCACGTCCAGCTAATCTTAAGATCAAGATAATAATGCCAGTACAGGTCACCCCACCACACAGAAGGGCACATGAACTGGAAGACAGCAGTCAAATTACCTTTTCTTATGGGGCTGGTGGCAGTGTGGCCTGCAGCCTGACCTCCCAGCACCCTGGCACTCCCAGGGCACTCACCCTGATGCCTCGGCTATAGGGGATGAGCTTGAGGATGTGCAGGGACTGCATGCCCTCGGCGATGTTGTGGTAGGGGTAGTGTTTGCCCTTGATCTTGCGGAGCAGATAGGGAATGAAGATGATGATGAGGATGAACACATCCAGCATGTTGTAGCCATCCTTCCAGTAGTCGATGGGGTCCACGTAGACCTTCATGGCGAACTCGGAGGTGCAGATGGACACAAAGATGATCTCTGAGATCTGCAGGGGTGGCAAGGGTTGAAAGGATCCAACCAAAAAGCAGAGCCCCACAGTCCCGGCCCACTCCCTGCCTGGGCGACCCAATCTGGGTCACCCCCATGCTCGAGAAACCCAGGCAGAGTCCCTGGCACACAGAGCACTCCGCGTGTGTCCAACTCCCTCCCCTTCGGTGTCTTCCCTCCTGTGCTCTAAGCCCCAGGTTTGAAATGAGGTGCTTGGGAATAATGACTGACTGGCAGAAAGAACGACTGTACGCGCCTCAGTCAGTGAGAGAGGAGAACGGGCCAGGGAAGCAGTTGGAGGCCAGACCACTGGGCCCTGGAGCCCAGGCGAGGACCAACCCCACTGTCATCTCAGCCTTGAAGGATTTTGAGCAAGGGAGCGATTAGAACTGATATACATTTCTTTCTTTCTTTTTTCTTGGTAGTGCTGAGGGTTGAACCCAGGGCCTTGCACCTGCTAGTCAGGCACTCTACCCCTGAGCTACATCTCTAGCCCCACTGAGGCTCTTTTTTTTTTTTTTTTAAGTTTTATTTTTTTATAGCGTTTGTGTGTGTGTGTGGTGCTGGGGATTGAACCCAGGGCCTCATGCATGCAAGGCAAGCACTCTACCAACTGAGCTATATCCCCAGGCCCTAAGATTTATTTTTTTATTTGCTCTTTTTAGATGTACATGATGGTAGAGTGTATTTTGACATATTACATATACATGGAGTATGACTTATTCTGATTGGGATAACTTATTCCATTCTTGTGGTTGTACATGACGTGGAGTTTCACTGGTGGTGTATTCGTAGATGAACACAGGAAAGTTATGTTTGATTAATTCTACTATCTTTCCTATTCCCATCTCCCCTCCCTTCCCTTCATTCCTTTTGTCTAATCCAATGAATTTCTACTCTTCGCCTCCCCTGCTTGTTGTGTGTTAGCATCAGCATATCAGAGAGAACATTCGGCCTTTGATTTTGGGGGATTGGCTTATTTCAGTTAATATGATCATCTCCAGATCCATCCATTTGCCAGCAAAATTCATAAAGCCATTCTTTTTTATGGCTGAGTAATATTCTATTGTGTACACATACCACATTTTCTTTAACTGATGCTCATTTTTAAGAAATCTGGGCTGCTGCTCAGTACAAGAGAAACAGCAACTAGGAGGTGGGGCAGGGAGGCAATGGTGAGTAGCCTAGTTAGTCATCAGAGCAGTCATCCAGGGTGAACCCGATCTGTTGAGGGGACAGTGGTGGTATGGGAGAGAAGAGGACATGTTCCAGATAGCCTGTGTGGACAGTGAGGATAGGACTTGATCCTGAACTCCAGGATGCACGTAAAAGACAGGCAGCCAGCAAGACTCCTAGGTTTCAGAGGGAGTGACTGGTAAGCAGCCAGGTGAAGGGGACAGAGAGGACTTCTGGAGGGAAAGATTTTTGAGATATGTGATCTTTTAAGGATAAGTCATAGGTGGTCACACCTCTTCATTTGAATAACATTGGAGAAGCCAGTGTTTCTATTTGTCCTCAAATGTCTTCACGTGACAACCATTTACATATACTTTTTAGTTTTTGAAATTAATATGTAACATTTAAGATACACAAAAAGATATAGTATAGACTAATATAACAACAACCATATGCTTACCTCTCAGCTTAAAAAATAAACTATTACAGGAAGTCTCTTGTGGGTCTTTCATTAATCAAATTTCTTCCACAAAGGTAACCCAGTTGTAAATGTGAAGCCTGTCATGCTCATGTATTTTATATTTTTGCCACATAGGTATCCCTAAAAAGACCTGTTATTGTCTTGCATTTTTTAGGCATTGCATAAATTGCCTGTATACTAGCATATTCTTTGACAATTTGCTCTTTTCATTTAAATTCTGTTTATCTATTAGAAGGAAACAGGGAAAATGCTTTATGACATTGGTGTAGGCAAGGATATTTTGAACAAAAATGTAAAAGCATAGGCAACAAGAGAAAAAGTAGTCAAGTGGGGTCACATCAAACTGAAAGCTTCTGCTTAGCAAAGGCGACAATCAACAGTGACAGGACAACCCACAGAATGGGGGGAAATATGTAAAAGTATTCATCTGACAAAGAATTAATATCCAGAATATATAATGAACTCAAAAACTCAACAGAAAAAAACAAATAATCTAATTTGAAAGTTGGCCAATGATCTGAATAGACATTTCCCAAAAGAAGATAAAAATGACCAACAAGTATATGAAAAAAATGCTAAATATCACTAATCATCAAGAAAACACAAATCCAAACACTTTGAGCTGGTCACAGTGATGTATGCCTGCCATCCCAGTGACTAGGGACCTGAGGTAAGAGGATCGAAAGTTTGAGGCCAGTCTCAGCAACTTAATAAGGTCCTAAGCAACTTAGAGAGATCTTGTCTCTAAATAAAATATTTTAAAAAGGGTTGGGGATGTGGCTCAGTGGTTAAGCACCCCTGAGTTCAATTCCTAATACATACACAAAAAAGGCTGGGGTGTAGATGAGTTGCAAAGCAATTCTGGGTATAGGAAAAAAAAAGCACACTAACAAAAATGCCACACTGAAATATCATCTCACCTCAGTTACAATGACTGACATCAAAAAGACAAAAAAAAAAAAAATGACAAATGCTGACGAGGATGTGGAGAAAATAGAACTCTTACATACTGTTGGGGGGTGTAAATCAGTACAGCCAATACAAAAAACAGAGTGGAGTTTCCTCGAAAACTTAAAAATAGAATTACCATTCAGGAGTGGCTGAGGCAGGAAGATGGAAAGTTCAAGACCAGCCTCAGCAATTTAGTGAGACCCTGATTCAAAATAAAAAGAACCAGGGGTGTAGCTCAGTGGTAGAACACTCCTAGGTTTAATCTTCATTTGAGAGAGAGAGAGAAAGAGAGAGAGAGAGAGAGAGAGAGAGCGCTGCCACTGTGGCTCAGTAGTAGAGCACTTGCCTAGTATGTGTGAGGCACTGAGTTCAATTCTCAGCACCACATATAAATAAATCAATAAATAATGTAAAGGCCCATCAACAATTTTTTAAAAAATATTTAAAATTGAGAGAGAGAGAGAGAGAGAGAACTACCATACAACCCAGCAATGGTCTGGGTCTATATATAAAGGAAACAAAACCAATATATCAAAGCGACACCTGCACTTCTATGTTTATCGCAGCGCTATTCACAATAGACCAGAAATGAAATCAACCAAGGTTTCAGATGATAGGCAAGTGGATAAAGAAAATGTATCTATACAAAACGTAATACTATTCAGCCATTTAAAAGGACTCAATCCCTGAGACAGGAAGATCTCAAGTTGAGGCCAGCCTGGGCAACTTAGTGAGACACTGTCTCCAAATACATTTTTCAAAAGGGCTGGGGATGCGGTGGTAGAGCATTTGTCTAGCATGAGCAAGGCCCTAGGTTCAATCTCCAATATCATAAACACAAAGGATTAAATTCTGTGTCACATGTGGCAACATGGACAAACCTGGGGTTCCAAATGTTAACTGAAATAAGCCAGATGCAGAAATACAAATACTGCATGATTTCTCACATGCATGGAATCTAAAAAGCTGAGCTCATGGAAGTTGAGAGCAGAATAGGGGTTCTGAGAGGCCAGGGAGGGTAGAAGGAGCACGGGGAGCTTGGTTACCAGGTCACAACCAGAGAGGAGGAATACCTTATGGTGTTCTATGACACTGAAGAGTGATCAGCACTCACAAAACAGCTGGAGGAGAGGATCTGGAATATTCTCATCACAAAGAAATGATAAAATGTTTGAGATGATGAATAACCTCAGTATCCTGAGTTGATCAACACACAATGTTTAAGTGTCCCAAAAAATCACACTGTATCCCCTGAAAAGGTGCAATCATTATCTGTCAATAAATAATATGTAAAATCATGTTTGTGAGATTCATCCATGTTTATGTATGCAAACTGAGTTTACTATTTCACCCTTATTTAGCGATTCCACTTGTGAGAATACTACACTTAATTTATCCAGATACTTGCTGAGTGATATTTAGCATATATATATATATATTTTATATATATATATATTTTACTATTGCAAATAGTGCAATAGTACAAAAAATTTGAACAATTCTTTTTTGGGGGGTGTGGGTACCAGGGATTGAACACAGGGCCATTCAACCACTAAGCCACATCCCCAGTCCTATTTTGTATTTTATTTAGAGACAGGATCTCACTCAGTTGCTTAGCACCTCGTCATTGCTGAGGTTGGCTTTGAACTCTCGATCCTCCTGCCTCCAGAGATGCTGGGATTACAGGCATGTGCCACTGTGCCCAGCTTGAACAATTCTTCATACATTTATTATACACATGTGTAAAGTCTCTCTGTAATATAGCTAAGAGTAAAATTACTAAGTTGTAAGATGTGAGCATCTTCAACCACACTAAATATTCACAAATTGATTTTCTGAAGTTACTGATCCAATTTGTTTTGACATCAGCCATGTGCCTATTGTTGTACATTCTTGCCAATACTTCCCACTATCACACTTGATTTTTGTCAGTCTGATAAATATGAAATATTATCTCATTTTTAATTTTATTTTTCACTTCTGTATTAATGAGGTTGGGCATTTTTGCATATGTTTAAATTGTGAACTGCCTATTTTTAATCTTTGATAAATTTTCTACTGGATTGTTTTGTTACCTTCAGACTGATTTGGAGGACATCTCACAGATTTTGAATCCTTTGACTGTTATCCGTGCAAGCATCTTCTCCCACACTGACTTAACACACTCTTTCACCTTTTTATTGGTTATTCCTCACTCCTCCTCTCTCTTTTTCCAGAGTCTTGCAAAATTGCCCAGGCTGCCTTTGAACACACAATCCTCCCACCTCAGGTTCCAGAGTAGCTGGGATGACAAGCCTTTGTCACCGCACCCAACTCTTAATGGTCTTTCAATAACTAGATGCATAAAGAGAGAGATCACATCTTTAAGAAACTGAAACTTTCTGCACATA